AAATATTTATTATTTTTATTTTATGTGTATGCGTGTATTGCCTGCATGCATGTGGCTGCACCCGTGTCATGCAATGCCGTAGAGGTCAGAAGAGGGCTTCAGATGCCCTTGGAACTGGAGTTAAGGACAGTTCATAGCCACCATGTGGGTTCTGGGAATTGAACCCAGGTCCTCTGCAACAGCAGTCAGTGCTCTTAACCGCTGAGCCATCGCTCCGTAACTTCAGTTCCAGGGGATTCCACAGCTTTTTCTGTCCTCTACAGGCACTGCACAACACAGGTGCATTTACCTACATGCAGGCAATAGACATATACGTATAAAATAAAAATAATAAATAAAATATTTTTAAAAAAGCTTCCATGGTACTACAGCTTAAGGACTTAAACTTTTTTTTTTTTTTTTTTGAGACAGGGTCTCCCTGTAGCCCCAGCTGGGGTCTGGAACTTGCTATGTAGACCAGGCTGGTCTTGAACTCAAACTTTTTTTTTTTTTGAGACAGGGTCTCCCTGTAGCCCCAGCTGGTCTGGAACTTGCTATGTAGACCAGGCTGGTCTTGAACTCACAGAGTTCCAAGTGCTGGGATTAAAGGCATGCTCAACCATGCCCGGTGGACTTAAACTTTTTTTTTTTTTGGTCTTTTTGAGACAGGGTCTCCCTGTAGCCCCAGCTGTCCTGGAACTCACTATGTAGACCAGGCTGGCCTCGAACTCAGAGATCTACCTGCCTCTGCCTCCCAAGTGCTGGGAGGCCACCACACCCGGCTTTTTTACAGTAATTAAAAATTTTTTTATTTAGTGCATGTTGGCACATGTGTACCATGGTGTGTATGTGGAAGCAACTTGCAGGAGCTGGTTCTCTCCTTCCACCAGGTAGGTTCCAGGGAACGAACTCAGGACTTCAGGCTTGGTAGCAAGCGTCTTTATCTAGTAAGCCATCTTGCTGGCCCTCTAGACTTTTTATATCTATTCCTTTTTTTTAATCTTTTTTTTGAGACAGTGTCTCTCAGTAGCCCCAGCTAGCCTGAAACTCACTATGTAGACCAGGCTGGCCTCGAACTCACAGAGATCTGTCTGCCTCTGCCTCCCCAGTGCTGGGATTAAATGTGTACGCCACCATGCCTGGCTCTTTATATGACTTTCCTGGATTTTTGTGTGTGGGTATACATGGTCAGAGGACACTCTTGGGTGTCATTTACCTTAGGTTCTTTGTTGTTTGTTTGAGACAGGGTCTCTCACTGGCTTAGAACTTGCCAAGTAGGCAAGGCTGGCTGGCCATCAAGCCCCAGGGATCTGCCTGTCCTTGCCTTCCCAGAACTGAGATTACAAATGTAGACTACCAGATATAACTTTAATATTGGTTCTGTGGATATCAAACTCATGACCTCATGCTTGCAAGGCAAGCAGTTTACTAACTGAACTCTATCTCCAACCCTCATTCTTGTATTTTTGCAGTTCTCTTCAGCACACCAGCTTTTCCAGGATGATTATTTTCCATGTTGCATATGGTCTAGTAGGGTTGGAACTCTAGAGGACTAGAGTTCCCTTCTTCTACTTGTACGGCAAGTCTATCTAGATGTAGCAGGCTGGAAATATTGAGGCTCTAACTGCCCCATTCTAGTTTCACTGAAGAGCAGAGGTTCTAGGCTTGAAAAGGAAAGCTAGGACCAGAGGCTGCCATCTCACTATTCATAAAGCAAGGGTATCACACTAGGAGAAGTGGGCCAAAAGCCTGAAGGATGAAGAGTTCCACAGCTATACCCAAGAGGTCAGACTCTATTTGGAACAGAGTGTACAGAATCCGAAGTCTAAGGCTGTTGCTGAAAACATGGAGATCTTGGTGTAGAACAGTTATCAGGATGCTGGTAGCTCCACAATATTGGTAGCAAAAACCCAATTAGCAAAGCTCCTGGAGTTTAATAAGGTGACCAGAGGAAGAGATAAAGACAGAAAAACTCTGCTGAGATTATGGTCAACCTTGGAGGATGGAAGTCTGGTTATATCTGTACTAGATACACTCAGGAGTGATCAGAGCAGGATACTGGGATTGATTGGAAGGTATTCCATCAACAAAGAGTTTAAGATTCACTGGCACCAGGGGTCTAAGCATAATCTCTGACCAAACACTTAACAATAAACTGTTCCCTAACCCCCAGACAGGATTTGAGCAGATATAAGCTGGCTTTGAATTCGTTATGCTGCTTCGAACTAGTGATCCTCCTGTTTCAACATCACAAGTGTTTGGATTACAGGTGTACACCACCATGACCAGATAAACTGCTGTAACCCTAAGAAACTAGGCTTAAAATTAAAATCATGCATCTCTGGCAGGCTCTTCTAGTACCTTCTTGGTTATTTTTTTTTATATTGCAGATATTCCATTTGGCTTGGTGAAGCTGAGAAGACTGAGGTTTGCTTCCTCTACTTGAAGGACAGACACATATTCCAGCTGTGGTAGGCTGGCCACATTAAGACCCAATTGCCCCATTCTAGCCTGTTTGATGAGAGAAGTTCCGCACTGGAAGGGGCAAGTTACGTTCAAGAAACAAGGCTGTGTTCTTCCTCAGAAGAAATCAGAAAAGGAATATGCAAGCTACTAGTCACTTGACAAATATGGGGTAAACTTTCCGAATAATGCTATCTGTGCTCAAATCACATACCATACACATTTAACAGCAAAGGGTAAAAATAATCTAATTGGTGAGGCTAGGATATAGCTCAGTGGAAGAGGGCCTGCTTAGCATGTGAAGCCCTGGGATGAGTTCCCAGCTATGGGATCCTATGTCTGTAATTCTAGCACTTGGGAAGCATATGCAGGAAGATCAGAACTTCAAAGCCATCCTTGGCTATAGGAGTTCCAAGGTTAGCCTGGTCTACCTGAGACCCTGTGTCAGTAAACCAAAAATCCCACACATGTCATGGCTAAAGGAATTGTGATAGTTACTCTTCATTGTTGACCTGATTTAAAATTACATAGTCAGGGCTGGAGAGATGGTTCAGCGATTAAGAGCACTGATTGCTCTTGCAGAGGACCTGGGTTCAGTTCTCAGCACCCACATGGTGACTAACAAACTGTCCATAACTCCAGTTCCAGGGGATCCAGAAGTCCTATGACACAGATGCACATCCAGGCATGCAGGCAATACACACAAAATAAAAATAATGAAATAGTTAAAAAATTACATAGTCAAGAGGGTTGGCAAAATGGTACACGGGGTAAAAGTGCTTGCAGTGTAAACCTAATGACAGGAGTTGGATCCCTGAAGTCTATGGAAGAAGGCGAGAACCAACTCCTGAAAGTTGTTCTCTGCTCTCCACATGTACAGTGGCATATGTGCACCCACACTCACACATGCATAACATACACAAAACAATAAAAAAATGGGGGGCAGGAGGAACAAGATTGCTCAGTGGGTAAAGGCACTCACTGCCAAGCCTAACAATCTGAGTTTGACCCCTGGAACCTACATGATGGAAGGAGGGAACTGACTCCAGAAAATTGTCCTCTAGCTTCCATACACATGCTATGGCACATACATGCACACACACATCCACACAGCAAATAAGTAAGTTACAAGAAACACCAGTATACATACCTCTGGGCATATCTGTAAGGCACTTCCAAAAGGTTTAACTGAGAAGACAAGACACACTCTAAACTGATTGTGTACCCAAACAGAATAAAATGAGACAAAGGGGCAGCAAAGCCTTTTAAAAAATGTTTACTTTTATTTTGTGTTTTGCCTGTATGTATGGAAGTGTACCCATGTCATGCAATGCCTTTGGAGGCCAGAAGATGGCATTGATACCCTAGAATTGGAGTTAAAGATAGTTATTAGCTGCCATGTAGATGCTGGGAACTGAACGCAGGTCCTCTGCAAGAGCAGCCAGTGCTATTAATCACCGAGCCATCTCTCCAGCCCCAGCAGAAAAGCCTTTTAAGCACCAGCATTCGTCTCTGCTTCCTGACTATGGACAAATGTGACCAATCACCTTACACTCCCAATGTTATGCCTTCTTGCCTACGATGGACTGTATCCAGTCAAACCTTGAACCAAAATAAATCCTCCTCCCTTAAGTTGTTATTTGTCATGTATTTGGTCACAGCAAAAAGAAAAGTACTAATACAGGGGTTTAGGCAAAACCTAACAAGTGATTTTTGCTAACCCAGTGACTTAAAAATAAAATTAAAAAACATAGTGGCACATGCTTTTGATCCTAGCAATTGGGAAGAAGAGGCAGGCTGATCTCTGTGAGATTGAGACCAGCCTGGTCTACATTGTGAGCTCTAGGCCAGCTGTGGCTATAGGGAGACCCTGTCTCAAAAAGACCAAAATAAAGGGCGGGGGGCTGGAGAGATGGCTCAGCGGTTGAGATTATGTACTCATTTTCCTGCATCCACATTGGGCTGCTCACAACTACCTGTAACTCCAGCTCCAGGGGGATCTGACACCCACTTCTGGCTTTCGCAGGCACCTGCACTCACATGTACATTCCCACATACACATATAAAATCTGAACAGTGATATCAGAGGCTATACAGTATAGGAGACACAGGCTTCATAAAATTACTTTAGTCAATTACTAAATGAATATATAAAGGATCAAGCAATATTAATCCCTGAATACGGTGGTGGTGGGTAGGACTAGTATTAAGAGTTGCACAGTATTTAAAATGCCCAGTTTTGGACAAAAAAATATGAAATATGCAAAGAAAGGGTAAATTGTAACCCATTCGTAAGAAAAATAGTAGGTTACTGAAAATGTCTTTGAGGGAGCTAAAATAATGGACTTACCAAAGAAAGACTCCAAAGCAGCTATTATATTCAATGACCTAAGAAAACCACGATTCATCACAAAGAACCAATAAAGATACAGAATTATGCATACACATAACCATACAGAAATTCAGGAGTTTGAAAGAATAGCAAGCAAAATAAAAAATTTGAGAGGTCAACAACAGATTTGAGCTAGCAAAGGAATCAGCAATCTTAGAGACCAATACAGACTATGCAGTTTGAGCTGGGTGCTGTGATGAATGCCTATAACCCCAGCACCTGCAGGAGTTCAAGGTCATCCTTGGCTACACAGTGAGTTTGAGGCCAGCCTGGCATACATGAAACCCTGCCTTACAGAACAAAACAAGATTATGCAGCCTGAAGAGGAGAGTCTCAGAGAAATGTGAGATGCCATCAGGGCTAACACATGTGTAATGAGTACCAGAAAGAAGGAAAGAAAGGAATGTAAAAGGTATTCAAGGAAATAATGGCAGGAAACTTCCCATATTTCATGAAAAACACTACACATTTGAGCTCAATTAACTCCACGTAGGATATACATACATAAAGAGAACCGTATCTAACACCACAGCAACACAACCGAAAATAAAGAGGAAATCTTGCAGGTAGTCTGAGAAAAATAACTTAACCTAGCAGAACTCCAGAAAGATTAACAGTGAATTTGCAGTCAGAAAAAATGGAGGTCAGAAAAAAATGACTTGTTCAAAGTATTGACAGTGGAAAACTGTTGTCAACCAAGAATCATTTTTTCTTCTGTCTTCAACACTGGGGATAGAACCCAGGGCCTTGGTCATGCTAGCCAAATCTTCTACCACTGAGCTATATCCCCATCCCTCTTTTATACTTAATTTTTTTTTTTTTTCTGAGTTCAAGGCCAGCCTGGTCTACATAGCGAGTTCCAGGCCAGCTGGGACTACAGGGAGACCCTGTCTCAAAAAAACCAAAAAAAAAAAAAAAAAAAAGTAATAAGAAAATCTAAAAAATTTTGCTTATAAATGTTCATAGTAGCATTAGTCAAAGTAGCTAAAAGGCAGAATAACTCAAATGTTCATTAACTGATAAATGGCTAAACAAATGTGGTGCATTCATACAATGAAGTATAAAAACAGGAGAACTGGAGTTGTGCATAGTGGCACACGCCTTTAATCCCAGCACTCTGGAAGCAGAGGCAGGCAGATCTCTGAGAGTTCAAGGCCAGCCTGGTCTACATAGTAAGTTCTAGGCCATCTACCTGTAGCTACAGGGAGACCCTGTCTCAAAAAGAAAAACCAAAAACCAGGAGAACTGGGAAATTCAAGTTTGGAAGATTGTATCAATGTAATACCCTGGTTATCATTTCAATAAATATTATTATTATTATTTTTATTTTATTTATTATTTTTATTTTATGTGTATGAGTGTGTTGCCTGCATGTATGTATGTACACCTGTGTCATGCAATGCCCTTGGAGGACAGAAGAGGCCATCGGATCCCCTGGAACTGGAGTTACGGATAGTTGTTAGCTGCCATGTGGGTGCTGGGATTCAAACCCAGGTCTTCTGAAAGAACAGCCAGTGTTCTTAACCACTGAGCCATCTCTCCAGCCCCTATTTTTTTTTTTTTTTTTAAGATGAGGTTTCACTATGAATACCAGGCTGTTCTTGAACTTTTGGCTATTCTTGGCCTTAATTTCCCAAGTGTTGGGATTCCAGGTCTATACCACCATACCTGGTATGGTAGAACATGCCTGGGATCCCTGCACTTGGGAGGCGAAGGCAGGAGGATGAGAAAGTCATCCTTGGCTGCACAGTGAGCTAGGCCACTCTGGGATATGTAAGACCCTGCTTTAAAAAAAATTAAAAAATGTTTCTTGTGAAGAAAACTGTTAAGCTGGATGTGGTGGTACATATCTGTATTTAAAAGCTTTTTTAAATTTATTGTTTTTATTTCATGTGTATACATGTATTGACTGCATATAGGTAAGTGCACCCGTGTTGTACAATGCCCACGGAGGACAGAAGAGAGTGTCGGATCCCCTGGAACTGGAGTTATAGACAGTTGTTAGTTGCCATGTGGGTGCTGGGATTTGAACCTGGGTTTTCTGCAAGAACAAACAGTGTTCTTAACCACTGAGCCATCTCTCCAGCCCCCAAATCTATATTTAAATACTTGGGAGACTGAAGTAGGATTGAGAGTTCTAGGCTACCCCAGGCTACACAGTGAGACCTTTTTTCAAAAAACCCAACAAAACAAGACACTGTTAAGAGCTCTCATGGGCTGGATGTGATGGCACATGCCTGTAATCCCAGTACTTGGGGGGTAGAGAGGAGAATCAGGAGTTCAGCGTCATCCTCAGCTGCACAGAAAGTTAAAGGCCAGCATGGGCTACAGGAAATCCTGTCTTGGAAAAAAAAAAAATCTCTCAGGTTAGGATGGCAGAGAATAAACTGAAGCTTTTGAAAAACTTTAGGTGTTGGTTAACCACATGTATCTTACCCAGAACACTAAATTTCTTAATTTTTTCCCCCTAACCTTATAGGTAGGATAAAGATAACCAAGTATGAATTTGTGAATCATTTTGAGTCATCTCACCAGTGAGTAGCTCTATCCATGTTTGCACAGTTTCTGTTGGTTCAGTTGCTTTGATGTGTTTGATAGTTTCATCCAGTAAAACATCACCTGTTGGGCTGTCTGACTTTAGCAGTACCTTAGGAAACAGAAACAAAGGACTTTTCTTTACTCGGATTAAAAATCTTTCAATATACAATATGTACATTGCTAGTTAGGAGCTACAGGAAGTGTAAAGTATAATATATGGCCCATGTTATGAAAAAGTTTAATATGTAGTATGAGATGACAGTAGGAAGACAACATCTGAAGTGGGACCTAGTAACAAATATCAATAAAATGGACAAAAAATTCACTAGCATCTGAGTTTGGAAAGCTACCTTGTGAAACCATTACTAAAGGTAGGAAGGTCAGAAAAGGAAGCTACTTTGGGGAGAAAATTTAAGCTTGGCTTTTGACTGATATGGGATAGCCAAGTTGAAATGTCTGTTAATACCTTTTTTTTTTTAATTTTTTTTTGGTCTTTTTGAGACAAGGTTTCCCTGTAGCCCCCGCTGGATTGGAACTCACTATGTAGACCAGGCTGGCCTTGAGCTCACTGAAATCCACGTACCTACCTCTGCCTCCCAAATGCTGGGAATACACCTGGCATGCTAATAGGTGATAAAAGTGAAGATATGCCTAGAAATTTGAGAGGTAATCTGGAGGTAACACATATAGTGGAAAGGTTAATGGTATTTCCAAAAGGATATGAAATCACCGAACAGGATACAAACTGATACCTGGATAGTACAGAATGGAGATGTAAAGGAAACAGATCAGAAAAAAAAAAAAAAAAAAAAAAAAGAATATGAAAAAGACCAAGAATGGAGAAAGTTTCAAATAGGAGAAAGTGGTCAAAAGTGTCAAATCCTATATGTAATTTAAAAGAGAAAAATTAAGACTGAGAAGAAGCTGGTTCTAAGGATGTAGTTTGAGTGCTTAGACAGATGTTTGAGTAGAAAATGACTAATGAAATATATCTAAGAGTACAGTTCACGTGTTGTATAGAGTTTTCAGTAAATGGAACAAAAACTGAATGGTTATTAGGGATAAGCAAAGACTGGCCTGACACTTGATTTCCTCTACATAGGTAATATTTATTTCATAATGTTATAGCTACAGATACAGAGGGAGAAATAACCAACAGCATCCTAACTGTGATGTTTATGCATTAAAAAGAAGACAAGGGGCTGGAGAGATGGCTCAGCAGTTAAGAACACTGGCTGCTCTTGCAGAAGACCCATGTTAAATTTCCAGCACTCGCTGGTATGATGGCGCACACCTTTAGTCCCAGCACTTGGGAGGCAGAGGCAGAGGCAGGCAGATCAAGACCAGCATGGTCTACATACACAGCCTGGTCTACATAGTACGTTCCAGGACAGCTGGGGCCACAGGGAGACCCTGTCTCAAAAAGACAAAAAAACAAAACAAAACAAAACAATTAAAAAAGACAAAACCACATGCTTCTGTGGCTCTTTAAGGATACTCAGTTTTTTTCCTGTAAGATAATTTAAACCCATTAGACAATGGGATGGCCAACTCAGTGTTTATCTTGTCTCACTATTCAAAGTTTACAATTCTTCTAAAATACATTGCTGGTATTTGACTTTCCATTAATTAAGAGTATGTTGTACCTTTCTGTCTAGTAGTCGCTTCTTACGCATGGTGGGAGGTTCCAGGTAGATTCGCCCCCGCATGGCCAGCTCTATCAGGATGCCACCTCGAAGGCCAGATGATATACAGTCATTCCAGAAAGATGTATAGCCCTAGGAGAGAGGAAAATAAAACAGAATATTCTGAAAGGAGTACCATAAAAATGAGGTGTGATATTTTTATGATTCATTTCTTATCATACTACGTGAGCTCAAAACAAGGCAGTGAGTTAGGTAATAGGATGTTTTTGCTCTTGTTTTAGCAGTGTTGGGGGCTGAACATAGGTCCTTGTACATACTAGGTAGGTACTATGCCACTGAGCCACATCCCCAGCCCAATTCAATGTTTTATTAATCACCTTAACCTAAATTTTTATTATTTATTTATTTAGTGGGGTGTGTCTGTGTGTGTGCATGCCAGAGGCCAACTTTTGGGAAGTTTTTTCCTTCTACCATGTGGGATCTGGGGATTGAACTCAGGTCATCAGCTTGGTAGCAAGTGCTTTTCCAGATGGGCCATTTCACTTGCCCTAACTGCTTTAATCTAACACCTAAAATAATATATCCTTTCTGAGTTTTAAATTCTCTAGTAAATTCCTATGACTTGATGTTAGTTGACAATTGGCATATCAAATTTTAATTCTGAGAAGAGTTTTGGTTTGAAATGAAAAATTTATTTCATTTATTTATTTTCTGGAGGTGGGGCACATGTGGAAGTCAGAGGACAACTTGTGGGAATTGGTTCTCTCCTTTCACCATGTGGATCTTGTGGATTGAACTCACTCAGGTCGTCAGAATTGGTAGCAAGTGCACACCAAGTATGAGAACCTGGACCTGGTTTTGGTTTGGAAAGGTTTGCAGGATACTCTAAGTTACAGAGTAGGGTCCACATATGTCAAGTACAGAAAAAGCACAATCTATTTTCATTCTTCCTAGATAGAGATTTTTTTACAAACTTCCCCCCTCCTCTTTTTTGTGGTACTGTGGATTGAACTCAGAGCTGTGCATGTTAGGCAGGCATCTAGTACTGATGGAAGCACTGTACAAACTCACTGACTAGCTAAGAGCCTTTAACTTTCTGAAGCCCAGTGTCCTTATTTGTATCTTTTTTGTTTTGTTTTGTTTTGTTTTGTTTTGAGACAGGGTCTCCCTGTAGCCCCAGCTGGCCTGGAACTCACTACGTAGACCAGGCAGGCCTTGAACTCACAGAGATCAGCCTGTCTCTCCCTCCCAAGTGCTGGGATGACAGGCATGTGCCACCATGCCTGGCTCCCAATGTCCTTATTTGTAAAACGGAAACACTAGTTTTAATTTGCTGCCAAGGTGAAATATATGAGAAAGAGTTAAACTTAGGGTCTGGAGATCAGTAGTAGGTACTTACGTGTTAGTTCCAGTCCTAACTATCTTATATAAGAGAGTCACAATCTAAAGGAGCCAAAAATGTAGCTGAAAAGATCATGTTAGCATGATGAAAATTCTAATTTGCAACTTAAAAGCTCAATTGAAGAGCAGAAGAGATAGGCCTGAATGCTGGTAAAAGGTTAGCATGGATGACAGTTCTTCAAGCTGTACATCTCTGTACATGTTAAGAGGCTTGTGCGGGAGGTTTGAAGGATAGGATGAATTGACACAGAATAGACAGGGTTTTCTAAAGGGAGGAAATCATCTAATTTCTATGTATTCCTCAAAATGACATTCTCAGAGAGATCTCAAATATGTTCATGTTTATAGCTCAAAGGTTTTGTTTGTTTGTTTTTTTCGGTCTTTTTTGAGATAGGGTCTTTTTGTAGCTCCAGCTGGCCTGAAATCCATAGAGATCTACCTGCCTCTGCCTCCCAAATGTTGGAATTAAAGGCGTGCGCTACCATGCCAGGCCATTATTATTATTATTATTATTATTAAGCAGAAGCTGGCTTTGAACTCCTAATCCTCCTGCCTCCTGAGTGCTAGGATTAACTTAAAGATTTAAAGAAAAATTGTGAGATCAAGGTGGTTGGGGTCAGTCTTTGAACTTTTTTTTTTAAATTTATTTTTATTTTATGTGTATGAGTGTTGTGCCTGAAGTCATGTAAGTGTACCTGTAATGTGCAATGCCCACAGAGACCAGAAGGTGCTGGATCCCCTGGAACTGGAGTTACAGATGGCTGTTAGCTGCCACATGGGTGCTGGGAATCAAACCTTGTTCCTCTGCAAGAGCAGCAATCAGTGCACTTAACCACTAAGCCATCTCTCCACCCCCCAGACTTTGAACTTTTAAATAAAGGGCAAATAGGGGCTGGAGAGATGGCTCAGCGGTTAAAAGCACTGAGTGCTCTTGCAGAGGACCTGGGTTCAATTCCCAGCACCCACATGGCAGCTACAAATCACCCTTAACTCCAGTTCCAGGGGAATCTGAAGCCCTCTTCTGACCTCTGCAGCACTGCATGACATGGGTGCACTCACATATATGCAGGCAATACACTCATACACATAAAAGAAAAATAATATATGAAATATTAAAAAAATAAAGGGCAAATAATGAATCATGAACATTCTGATCAAGGAGTTTCAGTTAACATAAGGAAAATTCCAGCAGAGTTACCAGAACTGCTCAGTGGGGTGGCAAAAGGCTGAGTGGATCAGGAGTGCTTGCTGCCAAGCCAGATGACCTGGATTTGACTCCTGAGACTCATGTGGTAGGAAAGAGTCAACTCCTGAAGGTTGCCCTCCCCACTTCCGCACCCCACCCCAAAATAATAATTTAAATTATTATTATTGTCTATTTGAGGCAGGGTCTTCTTGTAGCTGCAGCTGCCCTGGATTCTCTATTGAGACCAGGCTGGCCTCGAATTTACAGAGATCCGCCTGCCTTTGCCTCCCGAGTCCTGGGATTAAAGGTGTGCACCACCAAGTCCGGCTAATTTTATTTATTTTGTGTGTATGTGTCTCTGTGTACGCACATGAGCCTGGGAATGCACACACATATACACATGCTATGACACACATGAAGAGATTAGAGGATAACTTTTGGGAATTTTTTTTTTCCCACCTTGTAGGACCCAGGGATTAATCTCAGGCTTGGCAGCAAATACCTTTACCTGTTAAGTACCTCACTTAAAATTTTTAAAAACTGGGCATGTCTGGGTGTGGTGGTACACACCTTTAATCCCAGCATTTGGGAGGCAGAGGCAAGCAGATCTCTGTGAATTCAAGGCCAGCCTGGTCTACACAGTGAGTTCAAGGCCAGCCTGGTCTACACAGTGAGTTCCAGGCCAGCTGGGGATACAGGGAGACCCTGTCTCAAAAAGATAAACAACAACAACAACAAACCCAAACAAACAACAACAAAAAAATGGGCATGATGGCACAATGGTAATCCCACCATGTGGAAGGTAAAAGCAGAAGTATCAGACATTCATGGTCATCCTCAGCTATATAGCAAGTTTGAGGCTAGCCTGGGCTACTTGACATCCTGTATCAAACACACAAAAAATAATTATGGTTCACTTCTTTAATTCTGGTATCAGTTTGAGGGACCTTGGATAGTGTCTCTACATTCCAAGACTCAATAAATAATATATTTAAAATTAGGCTACTCAGGATTTAAGATCTGACCATGTCATACTGCCAGAGGTAGAGGTCCTCTAATTCCATTATTCTTACTATAAGAAAATATCTTGGGGTTTTTGTTGTTGTTGTTGTTTGTTTGTTTTTTTGAGACAGGGTCTCCTTATGTATCCCCAGCTAGCCTGGAACCAGGCTGGCCTTGATCTCACAGAGATCCACTTACCTCTGCCTCCTTAGTGCTGGGATTAAAGGCATGTGCCACATGCCCAGCCTTATTCGTTTGAGATAGGGTCTTGTGTAGTCCATGATGGCCTCAAATTATGTAGCTGAAAATGACCTTAAACTTTTGTTCTTCCTGCCTCCACCTCCAGAGGTGGATGTCACCATACCAAGTTTATGCAGTCCTGGGGATTGAGCCTAGGGCTTCATCATGCTAGGCAAGCACTCTTACCAACTGAGCTACATTCCTAGCCTCTCTCTAGTCTCCTTCCTCTAGATTACTATACTCTGGCTATCCTCAAATATTTTAAGTGTTATTTATTTATATTTTAAGTTAGTTTTATTATCTTTTTTTTTTTTTTTTTTTTTTGGTCTTTTTGAGACAGGGTCTCCCTGTAGCCCCAGCTGTCCTGGAACTCACTATGTAGACCAGGCTGGTCTTGAAATCACCAAGATCCGCCTGCCTCTGCATGAACCAACCCCCCCCGCCCCGCCCCGAGTGCTGGGATTAAAGGCATGAGCCACCACGCCTGGCAGTTTTATTATCTTTATTGACATTTTTTTTTCCCCCCTGAACAGGTCTTGTTATCTAGACCATACTAGCATTGAACTATGTAGTCCAGAGTAGCCTTGAATTTAAGGCAGTCCTCCTGCCTCCACTTTCAGTGCTGGGATTACAGGCATCCCTGGTGTATGCAAGATCAAACCTGTGGCTTCATGCATGCAAATACTCTATAATCTAAGTTACCTACCCCTTTTGTTAAGTACTTTGAATGCATTTCGTTTTTTAAAGACAGGGTCTCATAGTTTAGATTGCCCTAGAATTCACTATGCAGTTGAGGAAACCTTGAGCTTCTGGCCCTCCTGCCTCTACCTCATGAGTTCTGGGATTACAAGGCAAACTCTACTATGCTCAGAGTATGTGGTGCTACAGATTGAACCTAAGAGCTTCATCCATGCTAGGCAAGCACTCTTGAAAGTAAGCTATATCCCCAGCTCTTACCCCTTCTTGTTGAGTGCTCTAAATGCATCACTTTTGTCTACTGGCATTTGCATAGACTGAACCAATACTATTCTTTCTCTAACTTCTGTTTGTACTTAAGGACGGTGTACATGGACCACATTTTATGTGTAACCTCTAACATTAGTTCCCCTTCCACTTCACCATCTGGGTTATGTTCTTCACCTGAGTGTGCCAATATATACTTCTCTCACATCATCTACTGTATCATCTTGCAAAGAAATGTTTGTTCTCAGTATATTATAAATTCTTTAAGGACAGAACACCCTCTATTTTAATTAATTAACTAATTTGTTCTTTTTGAGACAGGGTCTCCCTGTAGCCCCAG